TTTGGTTGCATGAGTAAGTTCAATGTTCAGGGACTGTCTCTTATACACATCTAGATGTGTATAAGAGACAGCCCACACACACACAAACACACACACACAAACACACACACATCAGGTTGATGGGGGTTGCAGAGGTCTTTGTAAGCATATTATGCGATAATTACAGAGATTTCGGCACATATTGAGATTTTGGGCGTAGTTGTATAGCATTCACGATCTTTGCGTCTACAACGAGGGGACTTGTGAGTGCGATCTGCTTCTCGATAAATAGAGAGGACTTGTCTACAGAGGAGGGGTCCTTATTGCTGCGAATGTTGCGTGCTGGCCACAGGCTTAGGGGCACTGTACAAGAACAGGGTGGGGGTTAAGGTGCTGTAGAAGAGCCTGTTGCCCATAGGCTGTCATGCAGTGTACTGTCACAACCGTCCACTTTCACTGCACACGAACGCCGTTCTGTCGACATAAACCCTGAAACAGGGCCAGGGGTACATAAACCCTAAAACAGGGCAAGGGGGTACATAAACCCTAAAACAGGGCAAGGGTACATAAACCCTGAAACAGGGCAAGGGGTACATAAACCCTAAAACAGGGCAGGTGTATGGGTGCATATACCCCAAAACAGGGCAGGCCTATGGTGCATAAACCCTAAACCAGGGCTGGGGGTTGGGCAGCGACAATGGGAAGGGGGGAGAGCATCACAGTGAAAAGCTAAGTGAATGGAGGAGCCACCAATGAAGGCAGCTTGATGATGAAAGGGGGAGAATTTGTTTATCCTGTGGAAAGGCATGCTGTACGAATATCTCTAAGCAGAGTTGATAGTTATCTCTCACAATAAGCCTTAGGATAGATCCCTGTCACTCCATCATACGTAGCAACAGGATCCAAATTAAATTGCATTCTTTATATAAGTCAAAATAAACAAATGCACATCAGTTAGTTCTCTGAAGCAGAAGCCAGTCAGCAGTGTCATTCCTGCAACTGATGCCCCCTCTCTCTTGCCACCCTCCGTGTCCCTCCTCTTCGCTTCCTGTCAAAAACAGACCAAGCATCAGTCGCCATTGTGCCACCTTTATGCCATTGCCGTCATACAGGCTGTCCTTTTGTCACCCCTCACCTTTAGACTGTCTATCTGTTATCCGAGCATTTGCGCTTGCTCCTCCATGGCTCCACCACCTCCTCCTCCTCCTCCTCCTCCTCCTCCTCCTCCTCGTTCTTTAGCCAGTATCTGGCTGTGACGGAATACCAACCTGTATTCAGCAATGGATGAGCACTTGAAAGCAAACGGACACCTTCATGTGTTCGCTTGCTTTCTGGCCAATGGCTTAAACCACAAGTACCTGTGAAAGTTGCTGTGGTATACCACGCAGCCTGTAGGGCCTTGTGGCACTGTCGTGATACCTGGAAAGAACCTGTTGGTTTAAGGTGACTACGGCGACTACGGCGACGACGACGACGACGACGACGACGACGACGAAGAAGAAGAAGAAGAAGAAGAAGAAGAAGAAGATCAAGATGCAGCAGCAGTCACTGACAGGGAAAGTAGGACAGCAGCTAGGCGTAGGCTCCATGTGTGTGCCCCTTGGGCCCAGGACAAGGCAGAGGAATTCTCTGTGCCCGTGCCTCCGGTGGCAGCTGCAGCATTCTGTGTTGGCACTGTTGAGGTCCCCGACGTAGTCCCCAACGGAGTCCCCGGCGGAATACCCGACGGAGTCCCCGACGGAGCGGGGCTTGCTGGGTTCGACCCAACTGCCATTGCCGTCGACATTGGCACTGAGGGTATTGCCGCTGGTGTTGCACTGGCTGGAGGGAAGGGGGGCACTTTCTCCACAGTCTTGAGTACTCCAAGAACGTAGTCCTGGTAATTATCCCCAGTATGAACCACAGCGAATATGCTTCCTTGCTTAATCCGCTCCTGAACTTCATCGTATGTCGGCTTGCTGACACTCGCATTGCAGGCTTCTAGCTGGTTATCAGTCACAGATGGTGAGGAGGCTTCTATCTGCAGGACGCTTGCTCGCCTAAGGACGTATTGTTGGATTTGGCCATAACGCAACGTGATCATTGTGACAGTTTCTGGGGATGTCCAGTCTCTTACCCTAAAGCAGAACTGGTAGGTCGGGGGCGACGAGCCGTTCACGGGACTGAAGGCAATGTCTGCTATCCACTGCAATTGCTGCGTGTTGTTGGCTGGGAGAAGCGTCACCTGGAATGACTGTGCGGCAACTGGAGCGGCAAAATGGGAGAGTGTGAGAGCTGCTGCCGCTGCAGTTACGAACAGTAGGTGTGGCAGTGACAATGCACAAAGGAACCTACTCCTTTGACCCACTGCCACTGACCCTTCGCTCTTCATCCAGTGTGTCTGCTGCCTAGAGCTTACTGTCCCCATACTGCTACAGATCCCAGATTCATCATCTCTGATGACGACACTATGCTGTCTTCCCTGTCGTTTCACCTTCTGTTCCTCCATAGCTGTGCTTGTCCCAACACAGCTATGGTGGCGTTTCAAGCATAATGAGTCCAGGTCCATGAGCTCAAGAATCCTGTAGAGCACACACCGGCAGCCAGTGGAAACGTGAGTCACGGAAACAAACATATAGTAGTCCAGGTATATGTACACATAATACATGTATGTTTAATGTCTGTGAATAATATGTGTATATATGTATGTATATATGCATACATATGTATCTGTATATGTATATATATACATATGTATCATCAAACAGAGCTGCCCGGTAAGCCGTAGGCAGAGAGGGAGACGAGGACGACAAACGAGGGGCTGTGACAAACTGTTTCGTCGGACTCTCTCTCTCTCTCTCTCTCTCTCTCTCTCTC